AATAAAAAGGGCCATCTGAATATAATAAGAAAAAAAATGACCACTCAGGATTCTACTAGTCTGGTAAGTCATATTTTTTCTTTTTAGTTATATACAATATATATATATATCCAAAATATTTTTTAAATTTATATATAAAACATACAATATAATTATATATAAACATTTAACATAGTTGTAATCATAGGGTAGCTTTGCTTTATGTTCTTTTTTTCTTCACTTAACACTACGACATAAACATATTCTCATGTTATTACCAATCATTATAATTACCACTTAAAATGGCTTTATCATAGTCCACCTAAATGAGGAACTGCAATTTATATAGCTATTACCTTATTGTTGGACATTTGTGTTGCTTACAACCTGTTTCTGTGAAAATTCATTTAACAATGAACATTTTTTTGCATCTGGAAAGGCAATAACTTTCAAAAGAAACATTGAATTCTTCTATCATTTTCTCTTCAAATATCTTATGGAGTCGGCCTCATCTATGTTGTCTGTAGTTGTGTATTTTGTATATGAAATTCTGGTATCTGGTTTTCCTTTTAGCTGCTTGCCATGTGCCAAACACATGGAACACAATCTCTCTTCCTCAAGTCTCTGCTTCACCTCTGCTCAGGTCCTCCAAGACCACAACACGACTGTTGCTCCAGAGTCCTTACGACTCAAAGATTCACACAAGGAACAAAGGTTGTCCTCAGGGGTGCCCTTGACATCCTGAAATGGTGTGCAGACTTGGGTGTGTGCACCTTCCAGTGAGAGGATATAGATCTTGTATCAGATTTCAAATGGTCCATGTGACAAAAAAAGAGGAAGAATCATCGACTGGGGCTTTTTTTTAGCATCCTTTATGTCCTTCCCTCCCTGGGGCCTTCTCTGCTTATTTCATAGCCTAAAACTCCCCTCTTCTCATCCTCAGGTTGCCACTCTCCTTTCCACCTCTTGCCTTCCCTTCACTGTCAGCCTTCTTGAACGAGTAGTTACACCCACTGTGTTCACCTCCTCACCGTATGTTACACCCCACCTCCTGGGTCTCCTGTCTCATTCTGCTGAAGTTGCTCTTCTGAAGATGATTTGTCCCTACTCATCACGTGGCCCAGTCACCATTTTTCATTCTTCACCTTCTATCTTCTCTTTAGCATATGAGATTATTGCCCCGATCCTGTAACACTTCCTCCTGATCATCTGAGTTACTGCCTCCTCTGGGACCTCCCCCTCTGGCATCTCTTTACTGTTTGCCCCTCTTTCCCCTGCTGACAAATGCAGATCTTCCACAATATTCTGTCACCAGGCCCCCTGTCTTTCTGTATTTTTCTCTTTAGCCATCTCCTCCAGACACATGTATGTGCAGTTTCCACCTCTCTCCTGAAACTGAGGTCCGTACTTATAAATGTTATCTCCACTGGGATACCTGAAAATACTTCCACCACATCCAGGAGGAAGTTCATCTTGTTGTCTGGCAGCTCCTCTTGATTTCCATATTTCTGTGAATGGGACTGCCATGCTTTGTCTTCAGGTACAAAAGATTTGAGTCATCCTGGACTCATCATTCTCCCGTGCCTTCTGTCTCCTCCTGTATCATAAGTCAAGGCTAGTAGACTCTCTTTCCACAGTGCCCCTTCCTACTGCTGCCCCTCTAGTTACCTCTTACTACCCATCACCAGGACGGCTACAGTGGGTTTTAATGTCTTCTTTCAGAGTCCCTTTCATGAAGACCTCCCAGATTTACTTCCCTAAAGCATGTGCCTGATTGCTCCCGAGTCCTGCCCAAGAGTCTTCTGAACATTCCCACATCCACCTAATTACCTCAAAATTCAAGGCCCTTCAAATTTTCAATCTAAACCATTTCCCCAACAATCCCTAAATATATCCTGCATATTCACATTAACCCAAATAAAGTTTCAGTATTTATCATTAGAATATATGGATGCATAAATATTTAAGTACACAGGGGTGCTTTTCAAAGCAAAAACATAGTATCACATTTATTTATCCAATTTCTTCTTTTCCCTAAACCTTATCTCTTCTTGAAGATTTAGGCTTTGATCCACCACCATTCAACAGAAGTATTCTGAGCAACTTATATCAGCCTACTACCTGAAGGGAAAGGTGCTCTCTTGATATTCTTAAGGTGGAACCAGGAGCTCCAGGAATCAGTGGAAGGTGCAAAAGCTTTCTTCTCATCACTGTTTGTAGTGTGTATTGGTCTGAGTCTTGACAGGAAGCAAACGGTCCACTCAAAAGGGATGATTGAGAAGAATTTAATAAAAGGACAATTCTAAAATGTTAAGAGAGGCTGAGTAGAAAGGGTCAAGAAGGGTAGTTAGTAGAACCGAGTAAGAGTAGTGTTTGCAGGACAGGACACCTGAAGGGAACTGTGTCCTTCTGTAGAGGAATGTGGCCACTGCCAAACAGCAACCTGGTGGGTAGAGAGTGGGGAAGAAGTGCCCCAACTTCATTCTCCTCCTATTGTTTGACCTCTGGCTGCTGCCTACCATTGGTCAAATCCAACCAAAATCCATGAGCAGGAGAGCCCGGCTGATGCACCCGAAGAGGAAGGCCTCCTGGGCACAGGGGCAGGGCCGAGAAGCGTGAGGAGGGGAGGAAACATGCAGAACTGTATTCCACTGCTGGCTTCTGAAGGTCTGTCTCCAGGGAGACGGAGGCTCATCCTGGCTGAAGCTCCGGGGCCTGCTTAGGAATCTCGGGCCATCCTCTGCGCCAGTGGGAGATTTCAACTCTGGAGAGCTCAGGGGTGGGGTGACTGCAACAGAACCTAGTTCCTCCCTCCCTCTGCTCTGCCTGTCTCTACACCAGGAAGCCCTCTTCTCATTTCTCATCCCTCTGCCACATTCCCTTCATTTTTCCAGATGGCCTCAATAAAATGATTGGGCATATAATAAATACCAAATTTATTAAGACATGTTAATTGTTATTAATAGTTTGTATTACAGCTTACCATTTACATTAGATAGCACTGCTTGAGTAATAAGAAATTAATAATGGGAAAGCTGACTTAATTTTAGAGGAAAATGACAATGAGGTGGCTGCTATGTTTTCTTTAATAGAAAGCTCAAAATAGAACACCTAGCAACCTTCTCCTGCGTCCTCGGCCTGGAGCCCTCCAGGAGGAAGGGCTTTGTTGCAGGCACTGCTGATGGTCTGGTCTCCTTGGCATTTATCTGCACATGCTCCCCCTGTTCACATGCCTTGCTCCAGACTCACTCCAGTCCTCCCGCAGCTCGATCCGTGAACCCTGGATGGCTGAGAAGCCGGGGCTGGGAAGGTGGTAGTGAGAACCACTGAGGTGGTCCCTTCCAGCTGGAAGCATCAGCAAAACTGAGAAGGAGGGGAAAACAAAGCCAGGAGAGCAATCCTCCTGTCAGGTGGGTCACACGATCTCCCCTCCCCTCCCCTTCATGAGTCAGGGTGTAGAGCTGGAAACATTCTGGGGTCAAACTTCAGTTTTCCCTGGGGCCAATTCTTTGTAGCCCAACTCCAAGGGCAAAGCAAGCCCCTGAAGGTTGAATAAAGAGTTGTTCAAAAGCATGGGATCTATAGAATCTAAAACAGACCCAAATTGATAGAACTTTCCCTTGAAGAATCTATAAATAGTTTTCTGCACCATTCCTTTGTCTAAGATCATGGGACACTATCTCCTCTGTGACACGGCTGACTCCTCCACCTCCATTTGCCCAAGACAGCTGGAGGCAGGGGTGTGTGCCCACAATGCACATGTTTGCTACCTTCTAAACATGCCAGTGTGCATATGGCGGGGTGGGGGGGAAGGTGTGGGTGCTGTGTGGGTGTGTCTTTAGAGAAACTTAGACTTCAAAGAAATGACCAAAATCTATAATTAACTCCTGTAAATATTCAGGGGCAAATGAACAATGACCTGAGCTTAGGCAGGACATAGGTAGACCCCTCTGAGGTTATAGCAGAGGACAAGCCTCTATCTAGGGAGATGCTTTATCTCAACCCCTCGGTGAACCCCCTCCTAGTCCTTTGGGCACCACTATCTCTAGTCTCAGGAATACATTGCTCCTGTGTCTACTTTCTTGGGCTCAAACCAATTTCCTTGCCTTCCTCACATGACTGAGCCTGTTTAGAGAGCTAAACAGGGCTGAGTTTCACAAGTACACTTTTGTAAGATGAGGAACAAATGCTGCACAAATTGGATTCCTTTTGTTTACATCCACGTTGATTTCCCATAGGTTTTAGCAGATCTATTCCTTGTCATCTGGGTATTCTCTTTCTGCAGGTCATGTCTGCCTAAACTTAATAGGATTTTGAATATGAAGCCACTGAAAGCAAATTGTTCCAGGGCAGATGGACTCACAACCTTGGCCCACCCAGGCACTTAAAAAAGACCCAGTCCACCCCGACCCTCCAATCTGTATTAGGAGTGTGCAGATCCCATGGGCTCACAGATTCCATGTAGGAGATGATCCTCAATCCATTCACTCATTATATTTTTCAACCTTTTAAGACTGGTTCCCCAATCTTTTGGAATTCTCTGTCTCATTGACTGATGAACCATTTGGATGGCTTACTCTTGGCACTGACCATTGGACATGACATGGTTGCTCGTGGTCTGGCCACACAAACACAACCAAGACGTCTGCAGTTGTCCAGTGGGATGCGCAAGCATGGGTCACTTCCTTCCCACCCTTTTCACGCAGTGATGGGACCTGGCAACCCACCCACTGCCTCCTGCCTCATGTAGTCATGGAAAGAACGGAAAGCATTAGGCTGGTTGCCCGAACCACTTGAGGTTGAATGGCAGGAATTTCTGACATGACGCTGAAAACCATACTCACTGAGGAAAACAGAAGTATGACCTCCTTGTAAAAACATGTTACTGTATGATATTTCAGCAGTGAGACATGAGCAAAGCTGACCCAGAGTCTTAACAGACTTTTGTCTCCTCGTGCCCCACACCCAGCACCAATCCCCAACCTTACTCCTGAATAAGGACAAATATGGAAACAACTCACTGTAAACTGGATTTGGCAGCCACCCATGATGTAGTCCAAGAAAGAATGCATCTTGTGAATCTGCACGGGAGGAAGAGAGGAAACTGTATTAGGAACAGTATGATCTGTATACCTATAGATTAAAGGCCTACACTTTGGGGTTATGCTGACATAGAGGAAAAAGCAGAGAAAGATCTGTGGGAAAAAGATGGGTCAGCTGATTTTGTTCCATGAAAGGAGAGAAAGAAAGCAATGCTGAATTTAGATGGGCCTGTGAGGACTGCAGCCATCCATCCCCTGCTACCCTCTCTTTTGGTTTACACATGATTTTAATCAGCCTCTGCCTCTGGGGTGAGACTAATACTGTGTTTTCAAGGGTCACCACTGGTTTGAAATGAATGAAGTCTCACACTTGGCTTCAGTCTGGCTGCCCGAGTCTAAGTCCCAGTTCTGGTAACATTCCTAACACCACAGTAATCAAGATGGGCAACTTCAAGATCACAATTACCTGAGAAGTTCTTTACTGCTAGCTGCCAGCTAGTGAGAGTCCTCCCATGCCATGAGCAACAAGGATTAACATTTATTGAGAACTTACTGTACGCCAAGCACTTAACATACATTACCTCATTTAATTCTTAGAACAAGCCTGTGGAGGTGATGCTATTGTTATTATTGTGCCCATTTTATAGATGAGGAAACTGAGGCTAAGATGATGGAGGTGGAACTCAAATGATGGCGGTCTTGACAGCACAGTTCATCCTTTCAACCTCTAGGCTGGAAGTCAGCAGGGTCCCTGCTTTTTTCTCAACCCCTGGCATCTGTGTTCTCACACACTTTACTGATTTCTAGTCTTAATTTCTGCTTCATTATGATTCTGATGCTTGAGTCTTGGTGACATTCATCTACTTATTTATTTAACAAGGATTTATTAAGCCCCCACAATGCACTGGATGCTAGGGATACAGGGATGTGAGAAACAGGCATGGTACCTGCAGCCACTGAGCTCACAGTCTGGATCCTTTTACCAGGACAACTACTAGCTGATTTTTGACCCTCACTTCTCAGACTCCATCTGACGCTCAGGGCAGCTTCTCAGAGACTGACCCATAAAACCCCATGGTAGTGTTTCCAGGCACCACCTCCAGGTGGCACACATCTATTGGCAGACTTGTCTCAGGGCTGATATTTACTGGGCTCCCTGAATAATGCCTGCTCCTGGCTTCCTTATGGCGATGCTTTGCCTGATAGTTGGGATACCCTACTACTGTCTGTACACCAAAAAAATGAGTTCGATCACCATGGCCTTTGAGTGCCGAACTCTTAGATCAAAACAGATATGTGCACAATCACCTTACAGAGATGGATAGTTGAACTGGCTCATCTGGATCTTCTTTTCTCCTTAGGCTATGGGCACAGGGATGGTCACAGGTCTATTCTGAATGTACCAGGATTTGGTCTGTACAGGTAGGTAAGATGACCAGAGACAACTGCCTTTGAAAGAAGAGTTTATTACTCACAGCTCCCCAAGGGACAGGAGGAATGTCCTGCCACACAAGGGGGCCACACAGGGAAGCACTAGGGTCAGTCAGGAGGCAAGAGGAATGAGGGGAAAGCACAGGCAAAAATCTTTATCATGGTTTTTGTGGGAAGGAATGCATGAAGCAAGGTAAGAAGTTAAGCAGGTTTAGGATTCAATAGTTTGAGTAACTTACGAGGTTCTGGGTGATAGGGATGGTCTCTAATTATCTGAAACCTGGCTCTGGGGTGATACAGGGCAGGCGGAATATTGTCTTGGTGTGTGAGAGTTCAGGAAAGGGGGTGGCTGGGGGTATAGGCTCTGGATGGATTGGTCTGCATGTCAAAGACAGGCTCACAGGCAAGTTGATTGCTACCTTTAGGAATTAGGTAACTCTAGGAGGGGCAGTTCCTCCCCAGTATGCAAGGCCCCAAGATGTCAAAGCATCATAAAATACAGAAAAAAAGCCATTATTCAAACAGTGACCCTAGATGGCCAATCATAAGCATTATCTCCTAGTTCCAGTGATTGGTTCAAGGGGTGGGCATGTGACATAAGCCAGACCCATCAGTCTTTTCCTTTACTCTCTTGTTATGTAAGGATGAGTTCTTGCAGCTCCTGGCAGCCAGGAAAGGCCAGCTCTGAGTGAAGGAACCTGATATATATAGAAAGAAACTGGATGGCATGTAAGTCTTATGTCACGGAGTCAGACAGATGGAGACTAAAATCTCAGCTCTTAAACTTACCATGTGTGTGACAAACTGGTTACACAATCTCATTTGAAAGTAGAAATCTCAGGGTTGTGATAAGAGTAAACAGAACATATTATAGTTATTTTCACATAGTAAGTACTCAACCAGTGGCAAAATTATTCCCAGATGGGATTTTCTGCGAAGTTAGAGCCCCTCTGGGAGGAATTTTTAGGCCCTTTAATCTTCCCCCACTGTCTTATTTTCATGGTACCCTCTCGGCATGGCGGAGGTGTCACATATAAAGCACCGAATGCTGGGATAGGCACAGAATAGGTGCTTTAGAAATGTTGGTGACACCCTCTGGGGACCTCCCTCTGGTGCTGCCCTGGGCAGACCAGGACTCTCCTATCTTTGGGGGCAGGACTGTCCTTGTAGAGGGTATGGTGGCATTGGCCTACCACAGCTCCAAGACCATCCATGCTTACAATGTATGTCCATTAATACCTTGACTTTCTGATTTTTGTTTAAAAGAGATCATATCTCTTTGGCATTCTCTCCTTCTGTCCACACAACCTTCCTCCCAGACAGCCCTAGCTTCAGACCCCTGGAAGACAGGGGCTATGTATATACCTTGCACTGATTCAAAATCACAATGCCCGAGTTCTTATAATTCTTCTTCTTGGCTTTGTACTTGGGATTGATGCATTCCCACTGCACCTGAAACAAGAAAGTTTATAGCATGATTGCCAGCTTAGGAAGAAGTGGAGTCATTCATGACGAGGCCCCTGGGCACTGTTGCAGATGGACCTGAGGGCTGACCCATGGTCTCTAGCTGATCCCCTCACATCTGGAGGGGCAGTAAGGAGGAGTGGTGCAGAGGGAGATTCTGACATTACTCTGCCTGGTTTGAATCCCAGCTCCTCCATTTTCCAGCTGTGTGATCTTTGGCAAATTACTTGAATCCTCTACGCCTTGCATGTCTCCTCTGTAAAATGGAGCTTGTAATTGTAGGTATTTCATGGGGTTACTGTGAGGATTGAATGATTAACCCCTGTAATACATTTAGAACAGTGCCTGACACTTATAAATGCTTGCTATTAATGGGATCAAATTAAGCAGCAGAGGGAAGGAGAGATCTGGGGACACACAGCTGAGTAACCCAAATACTGAGTCTTAGTGTCTGGGAATTGACTTAAGAGGTAGTAAAACTGAGGGACATTGAATACTGGCTATAGGAAGCTGGTGGGGATGATGATAAGTTTGCTTAACTTCACAGAGAACTAAAATAATGGATTGACACAGTCACGACGGTGGCGCATTAGATTGCCAGAGAGGCTTCTGTGAAGGGTAGAATCAGAACTGAGGAGGTAGCTGGGAGCTAAAGGGTGAACAGATCTCAACCCTTCCAGCCTACAAAAGCCTTCAGGGGACAAAGCCAACTGCACCTTGACCACTGACAAAGTCAAACATCCAAGAGTCATGGAATGCTCCTGCCCACAATCCTATGGGAGTAGATCCTTGGATTTCTACTCAGAAGACAAATTTTCACTCTCTGACAATTGGAAGTATCTGAAAATGAAGCAATTTCTGAGGCAGATATGAGTGGATAGATTGATACAGCATTGGCGCCAATGACCCATTCCTCCCAGTGCACAATGACTCTGAGCTTAGTCAGGTGACTTGTTTTGACCGATGGGACATTAACAAAAGTGATATGAGCAGAGGCTTGACAAGTCCCTGTGCACTGGGGCTTGCCCTCCTCTTGCTCCTGGGACATTTTCACCATGTATTAGCTTAAGCTGTGTCCTGGAGGATGAAAGAGCATGTGGAGAAACATTTCAGCTACCTCAGATGTGTAGGCACAAGTGCAAGAGTGAGTCCCATTTGGAACAGAGAGAAGTTTCCCAGGGGAACTCAGCCCAGATTGCCGACCTCCTGTCCTGCCTATGGTAGTAGCCTCCTAACAGATCTCCCTGCCTCACTCTCTTGTCTCTCTCTGTAACTGATTATCTACACAGTAGCCAGAGTAATCTTTAAAAAAATTAATGTAATTCTACAGCCTAGACCCCTTTGCAGCACTGCCCAATAGAACTTTCTACAATGATGGGAATATTCTATGTCTGCACCTATCAATGTGGAAGACACTAGCCACACGAGCACTTGGAGTGTGTGTGTGTATGTGTGTGTGTGTGTGTGTGTGTGTGTGAGAGAGAGAGAGAGAGAGAGAGAGGTGGAGGAATTGAATTTTTAACTTAATTTAACTTAAACTTACTAAAATTGAAATTGAAATAGGTGTATGTAGCCAGTAGCTACTAAATTGGAGACTGTGGCTTCAGTGTGCTCTCAACACATTTATAGGAAAATTGAAACTCTTTTCTCTGAGCTATCAGAATCTGCTTTTCCTGGCCTTGGCCTCTGTTCTTGACCACATCGCATGCATGGCTCCCTCACCTTCTCTGATCCAGATACACTGGTCTCTTTCCAGATCCTTAATCACACCAAGCTCTTTCCTGACTCAGTACTTTGCAATGTTGTTTCCTTGGCCTGAAATACTGTTCCCTTGCTTGTTACATGGTTGGCTTCACTTCATCTTTAAGGGCCTTCAAGTTAAATGTCACCTTTTCAACTGATCTCTTCTATGTTATACCTTTATAACTAAACTGGCTCAGTTTTTTATAGCATTTGGCACAATGTATAACTACATATTTTGTTTACTTAATTCATATTTATATTTTACTATGATGCACACTCATGTCACACCTAGAGCCTGACACTTAGCAGGTGCTCCTCAGTAAATATTAGTGGAGTCAATAAATAATAGAACAGTTCCCTGGGTGCAAACATGTCAGAATAGGGACTGAGTGGTTGCACCAAAACCTTTCTGGTGTCTCAGTGATACAGAAAACTACAGTAGCATATCATCCATTTCCTCAGAGGGACTTCAAGATTCACTTCTGTTTGTTTGAAAGCATCAGACTTCAGTGTGCTTCAGTTGTGATGTATGCTATAATGTCCTCCTAGGATTCTAGAGATGAAGTGTTTCCCATGTTTATTGGTTTGGCTATTTCTATTTGTAAAGCAGAACAAGGCAAAACTTCGGAAAACTCTTTAAAACTCTAGTGGGTGGTATTGATAACTGTCATTGATTTATTAGCTCAACAGAGCCTGGTCTTGTACATTCAAGGAAGCAACAACGTCTCTGGATAAATTCCTAGTTATTTGGGTAGTGACTTTATTTATAGTTTAGTGTTGGTTTTCATTGTACCCCTGAAACTTCAAGCCTGCTCATGGGTGAAGGTCTCTGTGTGTCTGACAAGTTTCCTGTAATGCTGGGTATGTAACAGCGTATTTAGCAGGTTGTGGGAGCTATGCAGAAAGCTGCCCTTGTCTTTTCAGGCCAAAGGGAGGTATTCAACAAATGGTCTGATTCAGATTAAGCCTCTGACTCTAAAGAATGTTAGTTTATTTCCATCCAGTCTGGTTACATCTTGACTTACATCTGAAAGGAGAAACTTGAACAGTGAGTTGGGACAATCTTCCCCAAGCAGCACTTCTGAGCAGGCCAGGCACAGGGACTTTAGGGGATAAAGTCTTTCTCTGCTGTCACTCCTTTCTGTTCTATGGGGACAGTGGCTCCCAGAGTAAGGATGGCAGGTAGCTTGGTTTGACTTCCTCCAGAAGCTAACACCGAGGCAAGGATTTAAGTACAAGTAATTCATCTGGGAGGTAATACCAGGAAGGAACAATAAAAGAGTGGGGAATTGAAATAAGGAAGCAGCCAAAAAGGGGTATGTGATCCATTCAGGTAACCCTATGGGCAACCAGGGCTGCTTCCTGCTGGGGAACTCTGGGCAACTTCACAGAGCATGCCTCTGAGTTTTGCCGCCTGAAGGGCAAGAGAGCTGGGGTATTTATATCCCATCTCCCACTAGCAATTTGTTGAGGGCTGCTCCCTGAAATGTGTACAACTCCCCCGACATGTCCAGCCTGCAGTAGGCATGGGCAGAGCAGGCTCCAGCAGCCACAGAAAGCCCTCAGGCAAAGAGATTCAGGTTCTGCAGCTGACACTGGGCAGGTGAATCCTGAACAGATCAGAGAAGTTACATGGTCAGGGTCCAGACGACAGCAACTGACCAATAGATGTATGTATGTATCCATCAGAGTATGGGTGTCTGAGAGATACAAAGAGGAGGTGTAGGCTTCTGTGTGATGCAGTGAAATCCCTATGTGCCCCTGTGGTATGTGGTAGTGTTTGGGTTTATGTCTTGGTATCAAGAGTGTAAGAGTGAAATGGTGAGACTAGATAAAAATCTGGTGCCCAAAATAAAAATTTGGAGTAATCAAATAATTTGCCCAAAGCATTAAATGTGTAATTAATGCCACCAGGTCATGGAAATGTAGATCTAGAAAGAATACTGCAACATGATAATAACACCAGCATGTATTTTGGAAGTTCTAGACACCCTGCCAAGTGCGTATCATGATTTATCTCATTTAATCTTCACTGAATGCTACCGGGTAAGTACCATTATCACCTTCATTTATTTTAGGTGAGAAAGCTGAGGTGCACAGAGATTAAGTCACTTGTCCAAGGCTACACAGCCAAAGGAAATTAGAAACTTTCTCATCTGACTTCTCCATTTTTCCAGTGGAGAAACTGTACCACCTTGGAGCAGGGTCCTGTCCAAGGTCACAACCAATTGCTATGAGCTGGGTTGGCACTAGAACCCAGATTTCAGTTCCCACCATGCTCACTCCTGGCCATGTTTAATCATGTATTAATGTCTCACCTCTAGCTGCTCGGTGTATAGCTGGGTGCTAAGGAGGCATTGCAAGAGGCGAGTCTGGGGGAAATGCCATGAGGGGCTTACCACGTACCTGTTTTCCTTCCATTACTCCTCTCATCTCCTTGAATGTTGAGGTGAATTCTCCAATGAAGTCATGTTTGCCATTGGAGTCCCAGTCCCATACTATGCACTGCAAGAGAAAATAAGTTGTTTTTTTTTTTTAACTTAAGGATTCATCCACAGCAGCTAAAGGCAATGCAAACTTTATGAGGAAGACCTGATGAAGGACAGTTGGTCTGGATCAAAAGTCTAGGATGACAGCATGTGGGAAGAGGTATCCCTTTGGTTTCCATTGGTTTTACTTAGCCTTTTTGTCATGACTTTCAAGCAGCCCTGTGATGCAGCAGTGACTAATAATTTTCCCATTTTTCAGGTAAGGCCAGTAAGACCAAAAGGAGATAAGTCACTTGCCAAAGGGACTATCCAGTGAATGAGAAAACTGGGATTTGAAGGCAGGTATCCTGACTCTAATTCCAGTGTTGTTTTTCCCACAGAAGAGAGCCTCTGTGGTTTATAGCTGGAATCAGGTGCCTGAGTCCATGCCTGTAGCTTCCACAGTGGCAGCTTATGTTTAATGATTTGATCATATGAATCACATTTTATTATTTCTTTTTCTGAAGGCAAAAGAGCGATGCTAAGAAAAACAAGTAAGAGGGCAAAAAGTGAGATCTTTAATTGTACCCACATGAAAAATAGGTGAAAAACCGTGAGAGGTGAGTTACACTGGTAAAAAGCAGGTGTCTATCACACCTAAGATGCGACTTTCCAACAAGAGGGCTCCATCTAACACCACTAACGCTAACTTCTGGGCTTGCAAGTAACACTTTGCAGTGTGATGCAGATTAAATCAGTAGCCATCCCTCTGCTTGGTCACACATCTTTAGATGAAGAGGGAGCCCCCATTTTTTCTAGGGTGGAGGTTGGACTAGGGTTTCAAGCACTTCAGATATCACTTCTACTTCTTAAACCAGGGATCTGCAGCCAGGAACCCCAGAAGTCAGATAAGATCGAGGCAGCAAGGAGACATTTACTCAGAGGTTTTCCCTGGAATATTGGGGTTCAAGGGGCAGCCTAGTTCTTTCTTGGGATGAAGACCCCACTGGCCAGTCCTGCCTGGAAAACCTGGTTTGTAAATCTATTTTCTGACATGTGGGATACCACACAGACCTAAAATGAAATATGCCCCGAATGAAACATAATCCCTCCCAAACTTATTCCTAGTCATTTATTTTCTGTCACAGTGGATTGTATCAACATCCACCCAGTGGGAAACATCACTCAGGATGTGCACTGTGAACGTCACACTGTCAAAGACTTGTCTACTGATCTCAATAACTCACAACAGGGTTTTTTCTATTTGCCAGCCCCTCCTTACTGACCCTGACACTCACACAGTCATTACCTGGAGCCAGAAGCAAAAGAAAGCTTGCCTGGCCTGGGCACAGAAAGAGAAGGAAGTGTGTTTCTGGGACCTTGCCTCCCAGGCTCTTAACTATGCCCAGTAGTGAACACAGACCTGGGACATCTGAGTCTGACACTCAGACTCAGTCTTCTGTCTTGGGGGGAAGCAGATAAAAAGGCAAAGGGACCAAAAGAGTCCTTTCAACACTCCCTTGTGTTTTACTGTGTTTCTTTTGATCTCTTTGTTAGAATATAGGAAAAGCAAGAGGGAATGTATGTAGTACTTTGGTTTGTCACCAAATCTCAAGCAAAACCACCTATCTGCCTTCTCTTAGATTTCCCGTCATGCTTCGGTTAGTTACTGCCCTCCTTCCTCCTGCCACCATAACACTCAGGACATTTGCTCTCTCTGGGGCAGACCTCCCCTGGGCTGGATGATGAGTCAGGCCCAACAGGGTTCCAGGCCTGGCCTCCTGGGGTGCAGGCACCGCTGTTTACATGGGCCCTGCTTCTTCAATTGGTGGCATTTCTTACCATGGCAGTTGCAGAATTCTGTTTCGACCTTTCTCAGAAGGGTCCCAGAGGAAAGAAGACACAGTGAAGCAGAAAAATAAAACCATGGTCTTTCTCTCCCTGCCATGAAGCTGGCTTATGACAGTTCTGATACAGCTGACAGAGGAACATGTCATGGTGAAAAGTAAACAGATCAACTGCCCTGAAGAAAAGCTGAGACAGAGGCAGGTTCTTGGTGTGAATCAATAAGGAAACTTTGACAGATTGGTGACAGAGTGGCAGCTCAAAACTCTCTACAAGTCAGGAGGCCTTCCACATTCCCACAGCTCACAGTGTAGTTTAGGTATATCATCTTAAAATGTCTGAGCTCGACAGATGGTCTTGTCAACTCCCTCATTTTACAGAGAAGGAAATTAATGGAAGAGAAAGGAAGTGACTCCTGCAAGTTCACCCAGTGCAGACGAAAGTCCAGGTTTCCTGCCTACCTAATTCCCCCCGCCAACCGCAAAAGAGCAAATTATAATTACAACATATATAGTGCTTACTATGTACCAGAAACTGTTCTGAACACTTTACATATGTAAATTCACTTAATACCCAGAATAATTTTTCATTATGCTCATTTTACAGATGAGGAAACTGAGACACAGAGAGGTGAAGTAAGTTTTCCAACACCACACAGTTAACAATAGGTAATCTTTGAACTAAAAGAAGTTAAACTTTGGAGCTTGTCCTAAATGATCATCTCTTATGAACCCAGGCCATTTGTGTTTATGGTCTCTAATCCTGTATGATAACCCTGAAATGACAATATTATTATTGCCATTCAGTCACAGGCTTAGAGAGGTCAAGTGACTTGACTAGACATCTAGAAAGTGACAAAGATGGATTTTATTTCTTTTTATTGTCTAATTGCTCTGACTAGGACTTTCAGCACTATGTTGAAAAGAAGTGGCAAGAGAGGGCATTCTTGTCTTATTCCTAATCTTAGAGAAAAAGCTTTAACATTTTCACCATTGAGTAATATATTAGCTGTGGACTTGTCATATATGGCCTTTATTATGTTGAGGTAATTCCTAGTTTGTTGAGCATTTTTATCATGAAAAAGTGTTGAATTTTGTCAACACAGAATTGCTAAAGCAATCTTGAGAAAAAGAACAAAGCTGAAGACATCACTTCAAAATATATTACAAAGCCACAGGAATGAAAACATAATGGTACTCTCATAAAGACAGATCTATAGGCCAATGGAACAGAATACATAGCCCAGAAATAACCATACATATATGGTCAATTGATATTTGACAAGGGTGCCAAGAATACACAATGGGGAAAAGGGAGTCTCTTCACAAATGAGGTTGGGAAAATTGAATATCCACAGGCAAAAAATGAAATTGGATCCCTACCTTACACCATACACAAAAATCAACTCAAAATGGATAGAAGACTTAGACATAAGACTTGAAACTGTAAAACTGTTAGAAAAAAAACACAGGGGAAAATATTCTTGACATTCAACTTGGCAATGATTTCTTGGATATGATACTAAAAGCACAAGCAACAAATGCAAAAATAGACAAGTGGGACTATATCAAACTCCTACAGGAGCTATAAAAATCTGCTGCACAGCAAAGGAAACCATCAATAAAATGAAAAGGCATCCTACGGAATGGGAGAAAATATTTGCAAACTGTATATCTGATAAGGGATTAATTTCCAAAATGTATAAGGAACTCTTACAACTCAATAGCAAAAAAAACCCCCAATAACCGGATTAAAAAATGGTCAAAGGACTGGAACAGATGTTTCTCCAAAAAAGATATACAAATGGCTAACAGGTATATGAAAAGATGCTCAACATCATTAATTATCAGGAAATGGAAAATCAAAATGACAATGAGATATCACCTCATATCTATTAGGATGACAATTATTAAAAAAACACAAAAGATAACAATTGTTGGCAAAGATATGGAGAAATTGGAGCCCTTGTAACCATTGGTGGGAATATAAAACAGTGCAGCAGCTATGGAAAACAGTATAGTGATTTCTCAAAAAGTTAAAAATAGAATTACTATATGATCCAGCAATCTCATTTTTGGGTATACATCCAAAGAACTGAAGTCAGGATATGGAAGAGATATCTTCATTCCCATGTTAACTTCAGCAGCATTATTCACGATAGCCAAGATATGAAAATAACCCAAGTGTATGACTAAAGAAAATGTGGTATATACATACAATAGAATATTATTCAGCCTTAAAGAAGAAAATCTTGCCATTTGTGACTTGGATGGACATTATGCTAACTGAAATAAGCCAGCCACTGATGGACAACTAGTGCCTGATTCCACTTTTATGATGCATCTATAACAGTCAAACTCATAGAGGCAGAGAATACAATAGAGGTTGCTGAGGGGTGGAGGTATTGGGGTCTTGTTGTTCAATGGGTGTAAGGTTTCAGTCACGCAAGATGAGTAAGTTCTAGAGACCTGCTGTACAACATTGTGCCTATAGTTTGTAATATGGTGTTGTGCACTTCAAAACTTGTTAATAGTGTAGATCTTATGTTATGTGTTTTTATCACAAAACAAGTAAAAATGACATAAGGAAATGTTGGAACGTGTGGGATCTGTCTGTTACCTTGATTCTGGTGATGGTTTCACAGGTTAAAACTCATATGCATGTGAGTTTGCATATGTTTGCATATGTCCAAACTCATCAAATTATATGCATTAAATACGTACAGTTCTTTATGTATCAATTAAATAAAGCTGTTAAGAAATCTAAAAGTAAAGGAGATTTCCTTAATAATCTGGGTAGGTCTGACACAATCCATTGAAAGCCTTAAGAGCAGAATGAGGCTTCCCTGAGGAAGGAGAAATTTTGCCTTTGGGCCATAACTTAACTTCAGTTAGCCTGAGAGTTCCAGCCTGCCTTTCCTGAGGGTATGCTCTAGGGATTTCAGAGCATGTGTCCATACAGCCCGCACAACAGCATAAGCCAATTCCTTGCAATAAATCTCTTAATGTCTATCTTCCACTGGTTCTGTTTCTCTGGTTAACCCTGGCTGACGCACCTTCCCTAATCTTCTCCCTTGGCATTCATACCTTCATATTAAGAAGTGAGTTTTCAGTGACCATCGGTCTTCTCATACTGATATGCCAAAGGTTATTGAACACTTACTTTGTCCCGGGCATTGTTCTAATACCTTGA